AGAGAGGGAGAGAGACAGGGAGGGATAGAGGGAGACAGGGAGGGATATAGACTGACAGTGAGAGAGAGAGACAGGGAGGGATACAGGGAGAAATAGACAGAGAGACAAAGAGAGATGGGGAGCGAGAGAGACACAGGGACGGATTGATAGAGAGAGAGACAGGGACCAAGACAAGGAGAGAGAGAGAGAGAGAGAGAGAAAGGGAGAGAGATTGCAGAGGGTGAGGGAGACATGGAGAGAGAGAGACACAGAGAAAGAGAGACAGGGAGGGACAGAGAGAAAGACATGACTGGATAGAGAGACAGAGACACATAGAGAGACAGAGACACACAGAGAGTGAGAGAGAGAGACAGAGACAGAGAGTGAGAGAGAGATGGGTATCAAGAGAGGGGTAGACAGAGAGAGAGAGAGAGATAGACAGATATAGAGAGGCAGAGAGATAGAGAGAGAGAAAGAGATACACAGAGAGAGGGGAAAAAAGATACACAGAGATAAAGAGATATATACTGAGAGAGAGAGTGACACAGAGACAGTGAGGGAGAGATGGGTGACAGAGAGAGGGGGATACAGGGAGAGATAGATAGAGAGACTGAGAAGGAGACACGGATAAGGGAAAAAAGGAGAGAGAGAGAGATTGAGCAGGCCAGAGACATGAATAGAGAGAGAGAGAGAGAGAGAGATAGGGAGAGACGAGCAAAACAGAGAGAGACAGAGAGAGGCAGGAAGGCATAGAGACAGAAAGAAAGAGAGAGAGAGTGAGACAGAGACAGAGAGAGAGACAGAGACAGAGAGAGAGAGATACAGGGAGAGATAGAGAGAGACTGAGACAAAAACAACGAAAGAGGGAGAAAGGGAGAGGGGGAGAGAGAGAGAGAGAGAGAGACAGGGAGGGACAAGGAGAGAGAGAGAGAGAGAGACATAGCAAGAGAGAGATGATGGTAGAGAGAGAGAAAGAGAGAGACAAGGAGAGACAGGGATAGGGAGAGAGAGTGCGCCAGAGACAGAGAGAGAGTGAGAGATGGCAAGAGAGAGAGCCACAAAGGGAAAGAGGGAGAGAGAGCAAGACAGAGAGAGGAGGAGGATAGAGAGGGAGGCATGGATGGATATAGACAGAGAGAGGACAGACAGTGTGACAGGGAGGGAGAGAGACAGTGAGGGGTGGGAGAGAGAGAGACAGGGGAAGAGAAAAAAGGGTAGAGACAGAGTGAGATACAGAGACAAGGAGAGAGAGTGAGAAGCTGAGTGAGACATGGAGAGAGAGAGAAGGGAGAGATAGAGAGAGATAGAGAGCGACAGAGAGAGCGATACAGGAAAGAATAAAGAGAGAGGGCGAGAGAGAGAGCGAGACAGAGACAGAGAGAGAGAGAAATAGAGAGAGATTGAAAGGGCTAGAGAGACATGAAGAGAGAGAGATAGGGAGAGAGAAAATGAGACAGAGAAAGAGAGAGAGATGGCGAGAGAGACAGGGAGGCAGGGAGAGAGAGACACACACAGGGAAAGAGAGATGATAGGGAGAGAGAGAGATTGAGACAGAGAGCGCTAGAGACAGGGAGCAAGAGTAAGATTTGGAGAGAGAGAGAAAGAAAAAAGAGAGAGAGAGAGAGGGACAGGGAAGGAGGGAGAGCGAGATAGTAATTGGGAGGAATAGAGAGAGACAGAGAGGGATAGAGAGAAAGATAGAGAGAGAGAGACAGAGAAGACAGACGGGGGAGAGAGATAGAGAGAGAGAGAGAGAGACAGAGACAAGGAGAGAGGGAAAGGAAGAGAGAAAGAGAGAGAGAGAGAGATTGTGAGGGCGCGAGAGACATAGAGAGAGAGAGAGAGACAGGGAGAGAGACCCACAGAGAGAGAAATAGACAGAGACAGAGAGGCGGCAAGATAGATAGAGAGAGAAAGAGATACACAGAGAGAGGGAATTAAGATAGACAGAGATAGAGAAATAAAGAGAGATATATACACAAAGAGAGAGACACAGGGAGAGACAGAGAGAGAAGAGAGAGAGAGAGACAGGGAGAGAGAGCACCATGGAAAAAGAGAGAGAGAGAGAGAGTGTCAGGGTGAGAGACAGGGACAGAGAGACAGAGAGAGAGTGAGAGAGACTGAGACAGAGACAAGGATAGAGGGAGAAAGGGAGAGGGAGAAAGGGAGAGAGAGACTGATAGAGAGAGAGAGAGATGGCCACAGAGAGGGGAAGACATGTAGAGAGAGAGAAAAAGAGAGACAAGGAGAGATAGATAGAGAGATAATGAGATAGAGACATGGATTGAGGGAAAAAAATGAGATAGAGAGAGGAAGACAGAGAGAGAGAGAGACAGAGAGAGAATGATGACAGAGAGAGGGTGAGACAGGGAGAGATAGACAGAGAAAGACTGAGGCAGAGACAAGGATCGAGGGAAAAAGGAAGAGAGAGAGAGAGTGAACCAAAGAGAGAGAGTGACAGAGGGAGAGCGAGATAGAGATGGCGACAGAGAGAGGGGGAGACAGTGAGAGAGAGGGAAAGCGAGCGAGAGAAAGAAAGAGATTGAGAGTGTGAGAGAGACAAGGAGAGAGAGAGGGATTAGGAGAGAGCAAGCAAGGACAGAGAGAGAGAGAAAGGAGAGAAGGAGAGAGAGAGAAGAGAGAAGGAGAGAGAAAGACTAAGACAGAGACAAGGATAGATGGAGAAAGGGACAGACAGAGGGAAAGAGTGAGAGACAGAGAGACAGAGACAGGGAAGGACAGAGAGAGAGAGTGATCAAGTGAGAAAGAGATGGTGACAGAGAGACGGGTAGACTGGGGGGTGTGAGAGAGAGAGATGGGGGGAGAGAGAGAGAGATGGGGGGAGAGAGAGAAAGATGGGGGGAGAGAGAGAGAGATGGGGGAGAAAGAGAGAGAGAGACAGCGAGAGGGCAAGAGCGAGGCAGAGCGACAGAGACAGAGCACGCGATGGTGTGAGAGAGAGAGAGAGACAGGGAGGGATAGAGAGAGAGTGATGGAGTGAGAGATAGATGGTGACAGAGAGAGGGGGAGACGGTGGGGGGGGTGGAGAGAGAGAGGCAGGGAGAGATAGATAGATAAAGAGAGGCTGAGGCAGAGACATGGATAGAGGGAAAAAGGGAGAGAGAGAGAGACTGAGAGGGCGAGACAGACATGAAGAGAGAGAGAGGGATAGGTAGAGATAGAGAGAGAGGGAGAAAAACAGGGAGAGATAGATCGAGAGAGACAAAAACAGATAAAAGGATAGAGGGAGAAAGGAAGAGGGAGGGAGAAAGGAAGAGGGAGAGAGAAAGGAAGAGGGAGAGAGAAAGAGAGAGAGGTTGAGAGGCAGAGAGGCTGAGAGAGAGAGATAGGGAGAGAGCAGACAAGGCACAGAGAGAGATGGCGAGAGAGAGAGGGGGAATGGTGAGGGGGGAGCGAGAGAGAGAGAGAGAGACAGGGAAAAAGAGAGAGAGAGAAAGAGAGATAGAGACAAGGAGAGATA